TCTACAAAGTTGCCTGAACTTCTAGGAAATTGTCTGAAGTTCTACGAAAATACCTGAACTTCTACGAAGTTAAATTAATTTATACAAAGTGCCTAGGTGCCTGAGCTTCTACGAAGTTGCCTGAACTTCTACAAAATTACCTGAACTTCTACGAAGTTGCCTGAACTTCTGCGTAGTTGTCTGTACTCCTACGAAGTTGTCTGAATTCATTCCTACGAAGTTGCCTGAACCTCTGCCTAGTTGTCCGAACTTCTACGAAGTTGCCTGAACTTCTGCGTAGTTGTCTGGACTTCTACGAAGTTGTCTGAATTTCTACAAAGTTGCCTGGACTTCTAAAATGTTGCCTGAACTTCTACGAAGTTGCCTGAATTTCTGCGTAGTTGCCTGAATTTCTACGAAGTTGCCTGAACTTCTACGAAGCTGCCTGAACTTCTGCGTAGTTTTCTGAACATCTACGAAGTTAAATTCATTTCTACAAAGTTACCTGAACTTCTGCCTAGTTGCCTGAACTTCTGCGAAGTTGCCTAAACTTCTACGAAATTACCGGAACTTCTGCGTAGTTGCCTGAACTTCTATGAAGTTGCCTAAATTTCTGCGTAGCTGCCTGAACTTCTACAAAGTTGCCTGAACTTCTAGGAAATTGTCTGAACTTCTACGAAGTTGCCTGGACTTCTACAATGTTGCCTGAATTTCTACGAAGTTTCCTGGACTTCTACAATGTTGCCTGAACTTCTGCGTAGTTGCCTGAACTTCTACGAAGTTGCCTAAATTTGTGCGTAGCTGCCTGAACTTCTACAAAGTTGCCTGAACTTCTAGGAAATTGTCTGAACTTCTACGAAGCTACCTGGACTTCTATAATGTTGCCTGAACTTATGCGTAGTTGCCTGAACTTCTACGAAGTTGCCTGAATTTCTGCGTAGTTACCTGAACTTCTGCGAAGTTCTACAAAATTCACTACTTTTCTCTAAAGTTCCCTAAATTTCTACCAAGCTCAATGAATTTCTACGAAGTTAACAGAACTCCAACAAAATTATTAACACTTCTTCGAAGTTCTCTCAAGTCCCAAGAAGTTCACCGAGCTTTTACAACATTAGCTGACCTTGTATTTTATTTGCTGAAGCCAGGCATGGAAAATCATTTACATTCATTTCATGCATTCATTTACATTCATTTGCCTCTAACTTTTTTCATCAATAGTATTCCGCAAAATGATGTACAAAGCGTTAGTAGGTTTTGTTATTAGCTACAACTTTTGCTCATAACTTAAATCTGGATCTCTTATGCATCACGAACTAGAGCGGGCAGAACTTGATACGGTTTTTCAGTGAATGTAAAACACATTCACTGAAAAACAGTAGTGACTTCTGTTCGCTCTGGTTCGTCATGCATAAGAGATACGGATTTGAGTTGTTAACAAAAGTTGTAGCTAATAACAAAACCTACAAAAACTCTAGTCATAATTTTGCGAAATTCTGTTGATGACAAAAGTTAGGGACAAATGAATGTAAATGAATGCACGAAATGAATGCAAATGATTTTCCATGCCTGGCTGCAGCTCTAGAAAATTGTATGATCTTCTACACAAATCTGCGAACTTCTACGAAATTTCCCAAACTTCTACGAAGTTTTTCAAAATCAAATAATGTTCCATGAACTTCCCTAAACTTCTGTAAATACTCAGCATTAATTAAAAGAAATAACTTGCGGTCGCAAATTTGAAAAGTAGCCTTTTTACCAGTCGTTGATCAACAAAGGTAGACGTTTGTTCGAAATCGGATAGTAAAGGGTGATACGGTCAAAATTTCGTCAATATCAACTTGACGTATTTCTTTCAATTTTGCATTTAAAAAACCTGAACACCTCTCATTTTGAAGGTGTGTGTGTGTAGAATGTTGCTCCTATTTTGATTTTGGAATTCACTCTTCAGTTGTCAAAATGCCGTCCAAGCAAGAAGAGCAGCGTATCAAAGCCGACTACAGCTTCCGGGACAGGAGTTTTATACGGCAAAAGGAAGGGGAAAGGTAGCAGATGTTTTCAAGCACATGAAACTGTCAAAGTTCGCAAAGAAATATCTGGTTTGGCAAGCCATCTGTACCTGTGGCTTGAAAAGCAGCATTTTCTTAGCTTCCGGGACTGTCAACCAAGAAATTTACGTGAAAGAGTGTTTGAATAAACGTCTGCTGCCTTTCCTGAAGAAACACGGTTGTTCCGTACTGTTTTGGCCGGATTTGGCATCTTGCCATTACGGTAAAAAGGCCATGGAGTGGTACGCCGCCAACAACGTGCAGGTGGTTCCCAAGGACAAGAACCCTCCCAACACGCCAGAGCTCCGCCCAATTGAGAAATACTGGGCTATTGTCAAGCGGAACCTAAAGAAGACCAAAAAAACTGCTAAGGGCGAGCAGCAGTTCAAGGCAAACTGGCTGTCTGCGGCGAAGAAGGTGGACAAGCTGGCTGTACAAAATCTGATGGTAGGGGTCAAGCGTAAGGCCCGGCAATTCGGATTTGGAAAAGCGGAAGCCTAACTGAATATTTTTCCTGAATTTTATACTAATTGAACTTGAAAAAGAAATTTAATTTGATTTTTTAAATAAACTATTTCACCGATTTACACGCGTTTTCCCTTGACCAAATTTTGACCGTATCACCCTTTAAGCTGAAAGAATGGAATCACGGAATCTCACATCCACTTCCACCCGTTAACAGAAGTGTGTGACAACGCGTTTCATTAATTGTTAATAGCCTGAACTGCGACTTCAAATGACTCGATTATCACGAAAAGACGTTGCTTGCTTGCTTGCTCGATTACCGACAACACGCGTGTTGTTTGATTTATGGTAATTTCAACATTCTAGATGCACATTTCAAAAGGTCCAATCTGCTTTGATCGGTTCTCTTCATCAACTTTCTCTTTTGATAACTACAGATGTCGTGTCATGCTTGCCACTTAATTCGATACAGAAGGTTCTTGTCTAGCGCCCAGAACGTCAAACACAACAGGGAATGTCACTAACGAAAGAGAAAGTCGGGAAAGAGAATCGATCAACGCAGATAGGACCTTTCTGAAATGTTCGTCTAGCATTGATTATGTTGTAACTTTCACTGTCGCAACCTTCGGCTGCACGACAGCAGCCGTGTCCTAGCATGCGATGGTAGGTAGCATATGCTACCGCGACGATTCACCCTCCAGTTCATGGAGTAAACTCTGAAGGCGAAAACAATTTGTCTACCCCCCGGCATGTCTTAGCCCTGAATCTGAAACCGAAGGAACTTTGCCGTATTTCTCACGTACAAAATCTCCTCCACTATCAGGCGGCAACGAGCGTGAAACGTGAATCCACTTGTACTCCGTTTAAGCGTTTGAGGCCCTCTCTACCAACGCCAAGGACCAAGGCAGGCGGAGCGAATAATTTACATAGTACTCACGTCAGGAACGACCCCACGCATCGTCAATAAATTCGAACGCTTACTTGGATTGAATTACACCGAGTTGAATCTTTTTTCGATTGCTCTCCGATTAAACCTTTAATTTGTGTAAGGAAATTTTTTGGTATACGGCAAAGCAGTCTGTAAATTTATTAGAGTAATCGTTCAGATTTCAATCGTTTAAAGTTTGGAGACTGCTTAGCCGAAAATCAAAACATCAAGTAGGCGACTGTTGGAGCCCAATTTATATGCGATAAGAAAAGCAGAGAACGAATCCCACCGACACTGCCGGTGATGACAGATAGGATTTCAGCCAGTTTTTGAAGGTATACGAGCTGAGATGCTTGTTAATAGGAGACAGTGAAGGAATTTAATCATTTTCCTTTTGATGAATGACATCAAAAATGGAAAAAAAATATGGGTTCGGTTGTGTACAATCAAGGGGTGGGACACCTTGGCTGAATATATCAAAATATTTTTTTGATATTTTCCTTTTCTCGACTTAGAATTCAAACATAAGTATCCGTTGAACAAAAATTTTCGAGCATAAAAAGCACAAGAAGGGGAATTTACGTATTCTCGTCAATTTGAGAATGTATCTGCTGCTTCCTTATCTATCCATTCCAATCGACAGAATTGTTCAAAACTGTTTGAAAGCGTTTTTACAATGCTCCATACATCTCAGGTGAGTGTGATTATTATTGGCAGCCTTTTTTTCTTCGGCAACGATTCCATTTGAACTGCGTGTTAACCAGCTGCTCTATAGTCGGCAATTCGAAACCCGCATTTTGTAGTGTGTGAATTTCATCTAAAGAAACATCTGACATAACCGGATTGCTCAGTCGTAAAAATTTAATCATATTGAACTTGAGAGACTAAGGTGTTTTGATGGGAAATACAATGAAACTAACGATTAAATTGTGGGTACCGAACATAGTCAATGGGTGGCGAGGCCGACATTTACCCTATAAGTTTTTGAAAATTATGAAACAGTTTCGTTGAAATTTTGAAATATTTGAAAATATTTTCTAATATATCTAAGCTGTCTTGCCCCTTGGGTACAATGTTGTTACCTGGAAATGGTGAGCAAGAATTTGTTTGTCTAATTCCAGAGAAGTTTTTTTTTCGTAAGACGCATGGCTTTGTATAACAAAGTTGGAGATTAACGATCCTACTGAAACGTGATACTTTTCATAGACGAAACACTTTTCAATCTATGATATTGTCGAGCAGTTTTGGGACGATCTTATACCAGAGATTTCAAGAAAATGTAGTAATTCTTTGCAGATTTTTCTAGCTTATCAAAATATTGTTCCATTGTCAAGTTCTAGTGGTAGAGTGATCCAATCGCAAAAATTCCAGATTAAAATAAATTAAGTCAGAAGCTCCCAGTAATAGTTATTGTATGATTGAATGGCATAAGATTGAAAGATCTACACCTTACTTAAAGTCACTTCTTCATAAACGTTCTTCTCGAGAGAAATTAGGCTAATATATATTAGGCGAAAAGGTCTCTTCCGGGAATTGCTGTAATCCCACAACATTATCGTTACGGTTAAATCAGATCTACATACCAGATTGTGCTCCAGAGTGAATCCTATCGACGTCTTCGGTAGCTACTCCAGGCAGACAGGCAGGCAGGCAGGCAGACGATACACACAGGATCGCTTTTCACTTCCACCCCGAACCGACCGTTTCCATGCTCTCCCTTACAAAATTGCTCCAAATTGCACGCCTACCAAACACCCTTTATCGGTAATTCAATCCTTTTTCCACTTTAACTCACTCCTCTCGTCGCTCCCCAAAACGACCTCCAACTCTCTGCTCGGAAGGCAAAGTCCGCAAAAATTGATTCACTTTCCAAAGGCTTCCTCTTCGCTTGCAACAATGCTCGGCCCGACTTCCGCTGTCGCCATCAGCGTCTTCTTCATCGCAGTAGGCTACCAGAGATCATTATCACTTTCACCGACTGCTCCCTATCCAAAGTACACTGGCCCTATTAGCAGGTTTCCGTCGTTAAATACTTTACTATTTGTTATTAGATGCCTCCTGCGCCCTATACCTTCACTTGTTTCATCATTATCCTCCCTTTGGAGTAACCGATAAATTTTCATTAGACCTCTCGGGGCACGATAAAAATTCATTAGTCTTCCCAATTCTTCGCTGGCTTCGTTCGCCTGGGCTGGCTGCAACCTTCACTGCACTGCCCACGCCATCCAAGCGAGCTCGCGCGATGCTAACTAGATCGACGCTAACTGTTGCTGTTTTTCACCCCGTTTTCCTTCTCCTACCTGACAGGAGCAATTAAATACACTTCACTTACAATAATCGCATGTCGTGTTTAACGCCCATTTTAAAGGCCATTCCTATCCTGGCTGTCGCGCGCGACCGCTATCGCTTTCGGTTGGAGTTGTTTATTTATATCATCAACCCATATCTTTCTCCGAAAGAGAAGGGTAACAGTCTCGGGAAAGTACAAAAATATTAAAGCTCTCCAAAATTAGCTCCCTATTCAGGTGGAGCGGCGGTGTAAAGACTAATCACCTTCCACTTGGTTTGCAGCGAAGCAGCACAAATAAGCAGAGCAGGCAAGCATGCGTTTGCAGAAAACCAAAAACCTTGTATTCCTTGTTTTCCCTTCCAAGAGGGGGAGCAGCTCCCGAATGTATACAACCGTCGCGTTCGAAGCACCGTTGCAGACTGACGATGGTTGCATAGTAGGCGCGTAACTTTGTACCTCGCCATGTCAACCAGCCCAACCATCCAGCACGAGACTCAACGTCATCAAATGCCCAACGAAGAATCCTTTTGCCATGGGCGCACCACCACTCGCAGCATAGATTGCCGTCATGGCAGCAGCACAGGGCTGCGTACGAAGGGAGCGGGACAGGAGTAAACACAAAAACACGGCAGGGAAAACATTGGCACTGATAAGCGAGTGCTGATGGGGGTTCGGAAAAGCGAGCGGAAGCATAGTTGAGAGAGGAACTCAGAGAGAGAGAGAGAGGGAGAAATTTACCACGAGGTCGAACGAATCTCACGCACTGGAAGGGAAGAATGCACTTTCTGCTGGAGGCTGCAGCAGTGGAGCCAACTTTCTTCGATTGCTTCTGATTTTGGCATAGGACTACGTCTGTGCTTTCTATATGGGGGTACACTTTGTGAAAACCGAAAATGGAACATGTAACAAAATTATGAAAGATTTTGAACGTTAATAACTCAGCTGCCCCTGGACTAATTTCAAGAATTTTAACACTAATCGATTAGTAATATTTCTACGCATCTGATAAATTTAAGACTTATTTATTTATTTATTTATTATTATTATAGTCCATCTGACTTGATAGTCTCAATGAAACACTTAAATCTAAATGAAGTCACTCATTGAAAATTAAAAATTGGCCAACAGCAAACGATGACGAAACATCGAGGCATTGATGTCAAAGTCAAATAGGTCAGAGGCTTCGTTGGTTGCATGTACTACTTCATGTAGTAAGGTTCTCGGACGGAGTGTTCGGGCAGGAGCATACAGATTAATTTTGGCCAGTAACTCAGGAACATCATATTCTGCGAGTAAAACTTTAGCAACGAAGACGACCTGCGATATGTTTCGTCGCTTAGCAAGAGTATCCAAACCCAGTAAACGACAGCGGTCAGCATACGGTGGTAAATTCAGCGGGTCACTCCATGGAAGATAGCGCAGTACGTATTTGACGAATTTGCGTTGAACAGCTTCGAATCGTCCACTCCATACAGCTTGGTAGGGATTCCAGACAACACACGCGAATTGAGCGTACCAATGAACAGTAAAGGGCTTTAAAACACAGAGGATCACGAAATTCCTTAGATATCTTGAACATGAATCCAAGCTGTCGATTAGCTTTGTCGATCGTGGTTGAGAAGTGCCGAGTGTATGTGAGCTTTTCATCCAACATGACACCGAGGTCTTTAACGTGATCGACACGTTGAACTGCAGTTCCAGTAACGTTATAATCAAACAAAATGGTACGACTGAAACTAATTACGCAGCACTTTGAGACGCACAGGACCATAAAATTACGTTCACACCAATCATTAAAGATTTCAAGAAGGTTTTGTAGTTCTAAACAGTCGGCATAGCCTCGAACGACTAGATAAATCTTCAAGTCATCGGCAAAAAACAATTTACCTCCTCGTAGTAGAATAAACGTTACATCGTTCACAAATAAAGAAAAGAGCATTGGTCCCAAAGTGCTACCCTGTGGAACTCCTGATCTGTTCGAGAAACAGTACGATGAGTAGTTTCCAATGCATACAGTAACTTCACGTTGCACGAGGTGCAGCTGCAGAAGGAAACAGAACATCCAATTTTTTCAAGCTTTGCTAGCAGAACGTCGTGCACAACTCTATCAAACGCAGCTTTAAGATCAGTGTAGATGGCATCCACTTGAAGTTTCTTGCATACATTTTCCATACAGAACGACGTAAAGCTGACGAGATTAGTTTCCACGGAGCGGCCAGGAAAGAAACCATGTTGACATGTACTTTTGTAATGCTTGCAGGAAGCAAACAATCTCTCATTTATCAGCGACTCAAACACCTTAGATTCAACCCCAAGCGAGGTAATCCCACGGTAGTTTTCCACATTGCGTTTGTCTCCTTTCTTGAAAACAGGGAACATAGTAGACCGTTTCCATAGTGCGGGAAATTTCTGTTGACGAAGTGACAGGTTGAAGAGCAAGGACAACGGAGCAGCTAAGATATCGGAGCATTTTTTTAGGACTGCAGATGGAATAACACTCGGGCCTGGTGAAAATGATGATTTGGTTTTACTCATCACAGAGAGAACCATTTGTACATCTACGGCAAAAACATCCATGTTTACGACGTCGGTTGGCACATCACGGACGGCTCGCTCAATTTCTGCTTGCGATGGGGAGTCATTCGAGAAGACGCTTAAGAAGTGCCTAGCAAATAGGCTGCATTTGTCCTCAGTTGTCAATGCTACGTCATTGCCGAGAAACATTTTTGACGGCAGTCCAGTTTCCTTCCTCTTAGTATTCACAAACGATCAGAATCCCTTGGGGTGGCATTGCAGATTATGTTGAGTACGAATTACATACCTCTTGTAAAGAAGCTTGTTGTAGTGGCGATAATCATTGCTGGCAATTGAAAAATTTCGCTTGGTAAGGGTACATCGTCGATGAGTGAGAGCACGGAGAGCTCTAGATCGCACTTGTTTCAGGTTGCGGAGAGTAGCGTTAGACCAAGGCGGTTTTCTTGGAGGTTGGCACTTCGGTACTGAAGCACAAACACAGTCGCGCAAAAGGCTATTATAGCGAGCGGCTGCTGTATCGATATCAAGGTCATTCAACACGTTCCAGTTGATCCGGGACAAGGAACGTCTCAGCAAACGGAAATCGGTCTTCCGGAAATTGAGCCGAGTGGCAGTCATGGTTTCATCAAAACGAATTTGAGATCCGTTCGCGATAGATATATCCAAAGCAGGGTGGAAATTGTCAAGAGGAACGATGACATCAGGCGCTTCAACGACGACACAGTCCAGAAGTGCACTTTCGCTAACAAAAACCAAGTCAAGAAAACGAGACTGGAAATTAGGTTTATCTGGCTCAGTCCATGAAAAGCCGTGCCGTCAACAAGCAAGCGGCTGGCAGGAGTAGTTGAAGATGCAATCGGATCTGGAAACGCATAACCCTGGCCTGAGGGTGACCACTAAGCCCAGGCTGATTAAAATCACCAAGCAGAAGAAGCACATCCGTTATATCAGCCATGGACGATGCAAATTCTGTAGCATCCAGATGAAGCTGCATTGTGGTGCAGTCATGTCGACGTTCAGGGGGAATATACACCGCTCCAATGAGGATGTCCCGCGAAGTGAGGCTGACCTTAACCCAAACCGCTTCAATTGTAGTAAATAGTTCGTTGGAGATTACGCAGGAGGCGAATTCGTTGGAAACAGCGATGGTACTGTTGGATGAATTACGGTCTAATCTGTAGACAGTAAAAGAGTCACCAAACAGTTGCACTGAATTGATCCTCCCATCGAGCCAAGTTTCCGTGAATTCATAAACGTCATATTCCCCGTCAAGCGCAGCCAGATAAACATCGTCCAATTTAGTCATGAGCCCCCTGGTGTTCCGATAGTAGACACGTAAACCGCTAGAGGGTTTGGTGCGAGCCATGTCAATGATAACTTGTCCAGGATCCGCACGAGAGAACGGTGAACTATCAGGCAGCGAAAGATCACCTGACGTAGAAAGGCGATTTCCCTAACACAGATTTCAAAGTTGAATTCCATCCGGTCTCACCAAACGGTGTTTATTCAATCACCGCGTAGTGAGTGGTGGTGTTCTCCAGTACGAAGGGGGGAATCAGTGTCTGTCTGTCTGTCTGTCTGTCTGTCTGTCTGTCTGTCTGTCTGTCTGTCTGTCTGTCTGTCTGTCTGTCTGTCTGTCTGTCTGTCTGTCTGTCTGTCTGTCTGTCTGTCTGTCTGTCTGTCTGTCTGTCTGTCTGTCTGTCTGTCTGTCTGTCTGTCTGTCTGTCTGTCTGTCTGTCTGTCTGTCTGTCTGTCTGTCTGTCTGTCTGTCTGTCTGTCTGTCTGTCTGTCTGTCTGTCTGTCTGTCTGTCTGTCTGTCTGTCTGTCTGTCTGTCTGTCTGTCTGTCTGTCTGTCTGTCTGTCTGTCTGTCTGTCTGTCTGTCTGTCTGTCTGTCTGTCTGTCTGTCTGTCTGTCTGTCTGTCTGTCTGTCTGTCTGTCTGTCTGTCTGTCTGTCTGTCTGTCTGTCTGTCTGTCTGTCTGTCTGTCTGTCTGTCTGTCTGTCTGTCTGTCTGTCTGTCTGTCTGTCTGTCTGTCTGTCTGTCTGTCTGTCTGTCTGTCTGTCTGTCTGTCTGTCTGTCTGTCTGTCTGTCTGTCTGTCTGTCTGTCTGTCTGTCTGTCTGTCTGTCTGTCTGTCTGTCTGTCTGTCTGTCTGTCTGTCTGTCTGTCTGTCTGTCTGTCTGTCTGTCTGTCTGTCTGTCTGTCTGTCTGTCTGTCTGTCTGTCTGTCTGTCTGTCTGTCTGTCTGTCTGTCTGTCTGTCTGTCTGTCTGTCTGTCTGTCTGTCTGTCTGTCTGTCTGTCTGTCTGTCTGTCTGTCTGTCTGTCTGTCTGTCTGTCTGTCTGTCTGTCTGTCTGTCTGTCTGTCTGTCTGTCTGTCTGTCTGTCTGTCTGTCTGTCTGTCTGTCTGTCTGTCTGTCTGTCTGTCTGTCTGTCTGTCTGTCTGTCTGTCTGTCTGTCTGTCTGTCTGTCTGTCTGTCTGTCTGTCTGTCTGTCTGTCTGTCTGTCTGTCTGTCTGTCTGTCTGTCTGTCTGTCTGTCTGTCTGTCTGTCTGTCTGTCTGTCTGTCTGTCTGTCTGTCTGTCTGTCTGTCTGTCTGTCTGTCTGTCTGTCTGTCTGTCTGTCTGTCTGTCTGTCTGTCTGTCTGTCTGTCTGTCTGTCTGTCTGTCTGTCTGTCTGTCTGTCTGTCTGTCTGTCTGTCTGTCTGTCTGTCTGTCTGTCTGTCTGTCTGTCTGTCTGTCTGTCTGTCTGTCTGTCTGTCTGTCTGTCTGTCTGTCTGTCTGTCTGTCTGTCTGTCTGTCTGTCTGTCTGTCTGTCTGTCTGTCTGTCTGTCTGTCTGTCTGTCTGTCTGTCTGTCTGTCTGTCTGTCTGTCTG